AAAATATCTGATATTATATACATCACTATCAAATTTTCTATATTCTCTGATAAGCTAAATTTTAAATCAAGATTTTCCTTTTAATTTTTTTCTCTTTCAAATATATAAGTTTTGAAGAAAATGAAGAGCCAATCATACTCAATAAATTTCTAAATTCCTCCAAGAAAAATAAATCTAATTATAAAACAACCACAATCAAATTTAAATACAACTAAAAAAGACTCAATAGCTTATTGAATGTTTCAAGGACATATGTAATCAACTATGTTATTTGAAAGCCATTTTTTTTATGGGAAGTGTTCCTGGTATGAAAGATGGAAAGACAACCTGGGGAGATCAATGCTAATTGAGCTACAAGCAGCTCCTTGGCAAGAAGTAATTTGTCTCAGCTTTGACAAATTTTTAAAACATGCTCATAAGAAAAAGATAAGAAGAGCTCAAATGAATATGTTTATTATAATTGTAGACATGCGTATAAGTTTATTGTGTCATATAGAAGTATCAATGTGCATTTAAGTAGCAGTTGGTGTTGATTTTATGATGAACCATCCAATGAAAATAGCAAGTTATTTTGTAGCATGTCAGACATTGTTTTAGGTAGATAAAATGCTAAATATATGATAAAATTGGGCTAGTTTCTTAATCTGATATTCATCACATTACATGGATGATTAAGGTTTCATTTGAAACCTTTTAAATTAGGGTTTATCTTTTCACTAAATGTTTAAAATTGGAACAGAAAACTGTCAGTTTCACCTACTTTCTTTTCCCCCCAACTCACTCCTTCCTCATACACTTGATATATTTAGGAAATGTCACCATTTTTAACCATCAAGGGGAGTGATGAAAAAACTGAAGCCTCCACTTAAGAAGAATGAAAATGAGGGCTTTACTTGGAACTCACCATCATAATCCCTCTATAAATAAAATAAAACTAGGGCATTCATTTGAAATATTTCTAAATAATATAAAATCTCACTCTCTGAAGTATTATATCAATGAAAGTTAATGAATTTGCCACTTTTCTGTTTGAACTCTATTTTGCTTCTCCTATTTATATTACATTAAAATTTAGAGTTTTCCTTTCCCAATTTTCATTTTCTTAGAACATAATTTACCCTTGGAAGAAGATATTGATCAAGTGCTCTCTATTTTTCCATTTACTTAATTTGAACTTTAATGATACAGCATGCAGGAGTCAATTGAACGATACCGCAGACATACCAAGAGTGATACTTCAACAGCATTCAGATCAATTGAACAAAATATGCAGGTTAATTAACCTATCTATTCCTTCTCTGCTATTTACATAATTTTTATGTGATTTCACTCGTGCTAATAAAATGTGTATGCTTTTAGTTTTATGTTGGAATGCCATCCTAATTAACGATGATCACCACAATATAATGCATGAGAAAAATGAAGAAAAATTTCTTAAGATCTTGGAATTTGTACTTTGCTGTAGACTTTTAGAGTGAACATTGAAAAATAAATTTGAAGTTTTTAATGGTTCTTGTCTTCTTGGAAATGCAAACATTAGTTATAATCCAGTAAACAATGGTGGAAGAAGTCTCACCTTTTCTATGTCAACAAGCCATTTCCTCTTCAAGAATGAAACAATGAGAAAGTGTTGTTGATCATATATCCTATTCAAGAGTTCTATTTTCACCTTATTATATAACTCACCACAATTGAGAGAAATTATGTGATCTCATCTCTATTAATAGAGACATTTAATTCGGTTAAACTTTTTCATCTTTCTATTTCATGTTAAGTGGATTTTTCAATATTGAAATTGTTAGTGTATTGGAGATTTCAAATGAAAATCATTTTATACATAAATTTATAATGTCTAAGGTGTAGGAAGTAGGGTTTATGAGGTAAAGTTAAATTTAAAATTTACTTATTATATCATCTACCATCGACAACTATCAAACAACTCATCTTAATGTAATAGGGTATGTTTGAAATGACTATGATAACAAAAATAAAGTCTACATTAATAAGATTTTAGTAGGTCTATTGTTTCGTCCACAATTAGATCATTATTTCATCATTAATAATATTTAGTCTCACATTCGAGAAGTTCAATTTTCGATATCAAAGTATTTTGAAGACCTTTTATCATCTAAATATACAAATAAAATAAAATATATTAATAAGTGTAAATCTAATCTCATCTTATTATAAGCTAATTTTATGAGATTGAATTAAATTTAAAATTCATTTTCTAAATCTTTAAAAATCGACTAAAAATGTAAAAAATATATTAAAGATCTTCAAAATAAATATAATAAAATAATATTATATAAAAATAGAAATTTAAAATAATTTTATTGGATTAAATTAAATATTAGTATCATTCTTGTACTCTTACTCAATTTCTCTTTGTTCCCATTTTAATAAAAAAGAAACTTGCTATTGGAATTTTCCAACCATTTATAGCCCCAATAGCTATTATAGATACAATACGCTGAAGCTAACCTTATGCTACTTCTAATTGGCATTGAAAACCTACCAAAAAGAAATACAACTCCTGGTAACTTTGCAAATCTCAAGAACATGCTACTTAGCAACCTATGAATTTGGAGGAAAGAGTAATAGGATTTGTCTTAGAGATTCAACGAGAATATAATAAATAACCCAAAACAACTAACTGCCAAACTTTTTCAGAAACTAGCATAACATAAAGATAAGTTAAGTGAAAAACAATAAACTCAAAACTATTAATATCACAACTTGAAAAGCTTCCATTTGTCAAATCTTGCTCATAATTCCCAAAAAATTATATGAAACCAAGATTTATTCATCAAACATAAAGTATTTCTTAATAGGTTATACATGAAAAACTATCAGCCCTACTTGGGAATAATGCCAACTCATCAATCATATTATATAAGGTTCATCACCATATAGTTGAAGGGAAATGAAAAAGATAGGAGGAAATTTTTAAACCTTTCTTATGTGGTTAAATTTTTAGGAAGAAAACGAGAGGAAAGGAATCAAGGGAAACAAAATCTCTCCTCATTCAAATTTGTCTTTAAGGAAAAGTTGAAGGATAGAAAAAGTGAAAGTAATTTTTTTGAAGTTTCACTAAAACATCTCTGTGGAAACTGAACAAGGACAAAGTTTTTTCTCCTCACATTAATTCATTTTTCTAACCAAACAAAACACATAATAAAAAAAGTCCCTTCTCTCTTCTCCATTGAACCACATAAAGCCTTATAGTACATTCACACGTAGGAATTCTTAAACCAGGGCAATGGCTCCTACAATGTCCATTCGTTTACTTGGGTCTTTCCAATTACTAATCACAAAAAAGCCAAAAGGGTCCTTTCATCCAATAGTGTAAATGAATAAACTCTACACTATACACATGAGCTCTTAAATCTCACTAATAGTAAACACAATTCTAACACAATCATATCATGGATTTCCTTACATCAAGTCGAATCCATCATTCTCAAAATATTTTCTGAGATCTTAATTTGTTCAAAAGACAATCCAGCTATCACAAGTTCTTCAGGGATCAGCCAATAAAACGTATAATATCCGAAAGGTAACCCCTACATACTCAAATCATTGAAAATAGATAAAAGCTCCAGAACTCCATGCTCAATGTGAAAGTAGATAAACATTATTATCAATAGCACACATAAGAATATTTCATATTTTAAAAAGTTTGTCCTCCTATAAAAGAAATAATGAATGAAAAAGTCACTAAAAAGTAAATTATGAACTTACAACTATGGAGAACCAATTCAACTGTTTCAAGTGAGTCTAAACATTTGAAAGAAGAAACGATGTAGTTAGTCAAGTAAAATCCCCTATTACAAGGTTTAGAATTTATAAAAATCCACCAGAAAAAATTCTACAAAACCACTCTTTTCATTACCCCCACTACTAAAAACCTAAACTTCTGTCAAAACAATACCAAAATACACTTACCCACCAATCATTTTGGAGGTAGAAAAGCTTGAGAGATTATGGATTTAGGATAAACGAAGCATAAATGGAAGAACAGCACCTTACCTTAAACTTGACTACCAGTAAGTGCAACGAGTCAATGTGTGAAAGTTGAAGACACATAATGAAGGAGAAAATGCTAAAGTAAGGAAATTTGCTACAGAGGGAAGATAAAATCAGAGGGTCGTGGGTTTCAATTCAAGCAGGTATAAATTGTACTTTAAGCAGAAAATTTGGAGTTTGTGGGAAAAAAAAAGTGGAAAAGGAAAATTCAACTATAACTAAATAATTATCCAAAAACTGCACCAAAAATTATATATATATATATATATATATATATATATATATATAGAGAGAGAGAGAGAGAGAGAGAGAGAGAGAGACCTAGTTTGTATCACCATTGTTTTCTTTGAGGCTGGTAGGAACTTTTACTTGTTAGGAAGCTTCGTATTGATGGCATTATTTGTTTTTTTAGGGGCTAATGCTTTGCTTTTTTGGATTTTTAACCTAAATGCAATTTCTAGTGACATATTTTAAATGTTTAGCAAAGGATAAAATTGCAAAACACAATCATGTGAGCTCATTTTCAAAGGCATTTGTATCTTTGCCCATATACAAATGATACAGAAAGAGTATGCTTTGTTTTATTGGATGTGCTTGATGGATTCTATTGCATTTCAATTGTTAGGAAGACATAGTGCCCCTAGGTGAATAGTAACTATGAAGCATATATCATGAGATAACCATTCATTTCTAAATTAATTTTGCATAGATTCATGGAGGTAATAACAGACTTTAAGCTGGTCTTTAAATGCCACATTGCGGCTATATAGTGTACACTTTTTCATCAAAACTATTAAATTTTGACAATTTCATCTATCAGTATCAATGTAAATATATATACGGTTTAGAAGTTAATGTGGGAGGGGATTGGTTAATTGGAGTTCATTAATTCTACATGCTGTCAACTTAGAGTGCTTAGGTTTTAATAAACTACTAATACGTTGCAGCATCTGAAGCAAGAAGCAGCAAACATGATGAAGAAGATTGACCTTCTTGAAGCGGCAAAACGGTTAAAATTTTGAAATTCTATCCACCTTGACAAATTGTTTGCATTCAATGTTTAACTCACGATGGAAGAATTTGGTGCATTTGTAATTCAATTTCTTTAGGAAGTTTTTGGGAGAAGGTTTGGGGTCTTGCTCCATTGAGGAATTGGAACGGATAGAACAACAGTTGGAGAGGAGTTTAAGTAATGTTCGAGCAAGAAAGGTTAGATTGATTAACAAGCGTTTATCATTTTTACTGTTAAAATTTGTAACTTAACAGATATTTAAATCTCAATTTTTTCTTTCTTCAGCTCCAGGTTTTCAAAGAACAAATTGAGCAACTAAAGGAAAAGGTAAGATGTCTGAATTTGTTCAAAATGGTTACAAGTTATGAACCTGTTTTGACTCAGTCACCACATTTGGAATTACAGTTTAGTGAAAGGGAAAAACTGGATATATCTTTAAATATTTATCTGAGTATATTTACATACTGACTTTGACATAGGTCCACCATTTCAGAAATAACAAACTATTTATGTTTTGAAACGCGTAATTTTGTATTGAAATTCATAAAAGTACTTCTGTATATTTAAACCGCTTAATACCCAGATATCTCTATATGTTGGTAAAAAGCGTTTTTGTCATATTCAGACATTACATCTGTGACTAATTGTCAACCTGAAGGTTTGACTAGAAGCTTCACAATCTTTTCATCCATTGTTTTAAGAAGTTGTGACTGGCTACTTCTGTCTAATTCTGTGTTTATGATCCCAAGAAATAAATGCTTCAAGGTTCAATTCCTTTTAAATAAGTTCTGAAAGTTGAAAAAAACTACCCAGCAGGAATTACATCAAAGAGATTTCTGATGTGTTTGTAATTTAATTCAGGAAAAAGTCCTACTAGATGAAAATACCAGGCTCACTGAAAATGCAAAGCTCTCTGAGAAGGTCAAGTTACTGCTATTTCGAATTAATTAATTCCTTGTGCCCTATATTTCATTTGGAGAATAATTTTAAGCTGGTTTAATTTGAGAAAATATTTTTGTTTCTTCTATTCGTAAAATAGTTACGAAAATAGAATAACATGATATTTTTTGTCATTATTAAATTATATAAAAAATACTTTATCAAATAAAATATGCTCTCAGTCGTTTTGATGGAAATGTTGTCTTCAAGTTTTGGTGTCAAATAAATGGAACAATCCCCCATAGTTTTCATATCTTGTAGGATAATTGCTATAGAAAAAGTTCAGTCAGAATAAAATCTAAAACAGAAATTCTCTGCAGCATGGCATCCATCTACAGCAATCAATCAAGGATCAGAATGAACATCAACCCCAATACTATGCAGAAAGTAGTCCAAGTTCAGATGTGGAGACCGAATTGTTCATTGGACTTCCAGAACAAAGAACAAGACGCCTCTCTTATCAGGTCTAGTAGAAAATTGTTTAATCCCTGGCTATGCAAATTAAAATAAGGGTAACTCTAAGTGTATCATCACTGTATATGTATCCCAGATGCTCTAGAAAAGATAATAATAATAGAATAACTATAAATCTTCTTACAATTTCCTTCTGATAATCCTTCTAATTATTGATGAAATGAAGAAAGTATTAAATATTTTTGGCGTTTCCAAAGTGTTAAATGTTTTTTCATTTTTATTTAATACTTTCTCTACGAAGTGTTAAGAAAATTATTGGGAGGAAGTTGTAGGATGATATATTATTCTAAGTAATAGTGTTAACTGTGTTGTGGGGGTGAGTTGTTTAACTTGACAATTTCCTCAAACCTATGGTTTAAAATGACCTGTTGTATTGATATATACTTATATTTTACTCAGCAGTTACATGCATGACTTTCCTTGACTCATGAGAATTTTAGTTATGGTAGTATGGTATAATGTGACCAGTAAAATTAACAGAAGAGTCCTTACATATGAAGATAAAGAAAGTTGATACTATGTTTCTTTTCTGTTGTTAATCATCATAATAAGGACTCTTGGTTCTCAAACCGAACTTGAGTTTATTTCAGTCATTTGTACTGGTTATAGGACTAATCCCTGCTATGGAATTTACTTAATATAAATTGTAACGTATGCTTCAACTCAACGCAAATCTCTGACCAACCTAACCTAACTGTATCCCAATTTTCACCTTCCTTTCAATATTCTTTTTGCTTTGCTTATTCATTTGACAGGTCGTTTTCATAATACTAAAAATGAAACTAAAATTTTCTTCATATTCTATGCAATACTCCAAGAGATTGCTGGTTAATGACAGATAAAAAATGAGGAATTACTATATCCAACGTTAACCGAAAATGAAAATAATAATTTTCAGTTTATAATTATCACTTTGTGCAGGAAGCCTCTCAAGATTCCACCACAAAGGAATCCTCTACTCCAGTTTATACCATTTGGTTCCAACTCCATCTGAAACCTGGTTTTAGTTTAAATTTCTGCAGCAATTCTACCATGTGAGGGAATTACCATAACCAACTCCTTTTGGATAGGCAAGGAGGGAAATTATAGTAAACAAGCACCGTTGCCTTTTCTTGTAGGACCATTGTCTTTTCTTGTCAGGACCATTGCCATAACCATAACCATAACCATAAGCAGTTCATTGTCATCAGATTTTTTTTCTTGTAAGAACCATTGCCTTTCCTTCAGTCAAGAATAAGATTTTTTTTCCTCTATTACCATTATTTAAAAAGTAATGTGTATATCAAAACATGTTCCTTAACAATATCAACATGGTTGCACTTAACATAATATCTCAAGAGATCTGGTTTTGGAGCAAGTGGTAGAGCAGAAAATCATTCTTCACAGAATTTTATGTTAAAAGATTGAAAAATATTCTTCACATGCTTACTGCTATCCTATTTTCTGTAAGGCAGACTACAAGAGCATAACACACCATTAGCAAGCTTAGGACAGATTCTGTGCTTAAGTTGTCAAAGAAAGTATTCTAGAATCAGACTTAACATAGAACAGTTCCTTGTCCAAATTACTAGACAAGAATTGTATGTAAATGGAATAACTTTCTGACCTAAATTGCCAACATGACAGTTACTATTCAACATATTCTAATACTTCATAATTGCTAATGACTGCTACCATTACACCTATTTTAATTTCTAGGTGTTCATACTTTCTGCCAATAACTGTCATAACTTACACCCCAATTGATATTTGACAGAAGCGTAATATATTAGATTGCAGATAATGCAGTACAATTTGCAACCCCCTAGTTAAATTCCTGCGTAGAAGAATTCCCTGTTGACCTCACTAGAAAACAATAAACATGTATTCCCTATTCCCTATAAAACACACATTTAAAAAATCAGATTTATAAACAACAGAGAAAAAGACTGAAAAAAATATGCTATTGAAGTAATCATTTTTATTACGGAAGTTATGCTCACTCCAATTGGTTTGGATCATATCTAGACAAAAGTGATAAGCTACGCAAGACAATGTCATGAAATGTTCACATAACAGAATTATCATTAACCTATTTTAGTATGTAATTGTTAGTTCCTGTTTTCTCAGTTCCCAATACCATTTTCCACAAGCAATATTTTCATGAAATTTGGACTGGCCATGTAATCAAATCAGCACCTTACCCCCAATTAGCAACAAATCTTATCTTATTTTAAATTGTGTTATTATTTGATTTTATTACATATTGTATTTAGGGTCTGGTTGTATAAGCTCATAAAGACTTTCAGGATAAAAAATTATTTTTTCTACAAGTTAAAAGAAGTACAAAGATAAAATATAAATCTAAATAATATGAGAAAACTTTTGCAAATTAATTTATGTACAAAATTAAAATAATTTTTTTATAATTTTTCTCTTCTAAATGTAGTGATTTGAATTTGAAATATAGGTTTCTATCTAGTTAAAAGTGGAGAATAAGCATTTTATATTATTTTTAGCAATTCCACAGAAAATGAGTATGGAGGGAGAGAGAGATATGAGGATGAAGGAATGTCCATTGGAGTTAGACCTAATGAAGAAGTGTCCATGAAAACTATCCAAAATGAGTTAAATGATCCAACATGCCTAATTGCTAACAAAAACTTCGACAGATATGAGTACAGTGTTGGATTACATATGTTACTCATTGACCCTATCTACCCATAACAAGAAATCCACATTTATTAAAGTTTTTTAAATAACTTCTTATAATTAAGTTAAAACAATTTACAATCTTTTATATTTAGCAATTTTGATTATCTTTCAATAATTTCTTTCATTTAGGTTATAACTTTGTCATTAGGTTTGCTCTATTGATAATAGAATTATAATAACATTTCATTTTTTTCAGTTAATAAAAAAATTATAATGAGATAGTAATATTCAAAGTAATTAAAATATTGATTATAAATTTACATAAAAGTAAATAAATTTAAGCCAATATATTTTTCTAAAATATAAAAACTAGATATATTATTAATAATAATAACATGTTGGTGTGGCAAAATTCTACAAATATTTATTGAATTAGATATATTACTATTAATTTCATATATCTATTTCTAGTTAAAACTCATTGAATAAGGATATTGGAAGGGCTTCATGTAATTTGATTACATTTTAAATTTAAACATCGTGATGTCCAAATGATGGATATGAATCCTATAACCAAACTTATAATATAATAAAGTGATTATTTAACCTTCTTTAAATTTGTGCAAAGAATTATATAATGCTCAAATAAATTATCTTATTGTGATTTTCTCTCGGTGAGATTTCGAAAATTTTAATTAAAATTATTATTTTTATCATAAATATCAGATAGCCAAAATCAAGATATTTAATAAGCTTTAGTACACGAGTTCTAAATTTAAAACAGAATTATCCACTAAACAATAATTTAGAATTAAGTGAGGTTATACCATTATAAAATCTGGGGACTTTGACCATAAAACAAAATTCAGAATAAAACCTCATTTCTTAATTTCATTATCCTTCTGTTCTTGGTGTGTAGGATTAATTTCTTAAAAAAAAAAAAAAAAACTAAACTAAACTCAGAAGACAGTGTAGAATTCTCTTTCACAATCAATTTCTAAATATTAATGACAAAAAATGAACCCTAAAAACTCAGCAAAGTGTGCAAGTTACCTCATCTCTTTATCCATATAACTTGGCAAAGAAATCAATGCTAACAGAAACCCAAAAACAAGCAAAAAATGATTAAAGAGTCCAAAGACAGAACCCAAGATATTCATGGTTGACACTGACACACCAACAATCAGCCAAATAACAAAAATTGTATGAAAGAAATCAAAGAAACGAGGAACAAGGCATACCAAAAGAGGAACTTGCAACCAGCAGCACGTAGGGCCACACTGACAGGAACATCACCCTGCACTTTTATTCCTATCACCATACACCTTGTGCAGAAGAGCACAATGTGAGAGACTCAAAATTCTTGAAACTTTAGCTTATAATTTCTGGATCACAGGTAACTTGTTCACATATCATGCAGGAAACATGAGCTAGTTAACGTAGAAACTGTGGCACATTTACATTGAACAAGAGGGTGAAATGTTGTGTGAGTTTGTTAAACGAATTAAAGAAGCTGGTGATGAGAGATAAAATTGAAAGAGAAGAAAATGGAAAGTACAAAGCGAAGAAGAGTATTGAATGGAGGCAGAGGGTTAGCAGAGTGACAGAGAAGTTTGAGAAGCCAAGAAGAAAAAGTACATTAAAGTTTTCATGTGTCAGAAGAACTGCATAAATGTTCCCACTTTATTTCCTTCTTTTAAGATACTACCACTCTTTCTTCACATCTCCTCATTTTACTTAATTCAAAAATATGTATATTTAGTATATTAAATATATAATATGTATTAACTTTTTTCTTTATTTGATATAAAATACATATAAGAAACTTCAAGCACATTAGAACGAAGATATATGAAATGAAACTATCAATAATTAATTGTGAATTTAAAAGAAAGTATTTTATTTTTTATTTTTATTTTGCTTAAAAATTCTCAATTTATGAAATTGTCTATGTAATAGTAATGATACATGAAATATTTACTAATTTAGACGTAATTTTTTTTATATTTGTTATATTAATTTGGCTAATTTCCATAATTGGTAAATTCAATTTTCACCTAGAAAGAATTTCAATAAATAAAAAATTTTCGGGCTCAAAGAATAATATTTCGTGTCTATTTAATTCTGGACTAAATATATTTTCATGTAAAATGAAAAAAAAATTATTTTCTGTTCTTGTCATTTAAAAAATAAAATCGTTTTATCATTTCAAATCAGAAATTATTGTTATCTCACACTCATTAACAATTAATTTGCTAACAAAATAACAAGTAAAAATCACAAGCAACACTTAGTAGCTACTTTTTCTTAATCACATTGACCACAACTAAAAATTACTTGTGTTGTATGAAAAAATTAATAAATTCAAAATTAAAAAATGAAAAATAAATAAAAATTGTTTCGGACAACAAAATAATCATAACTCAATCATTTTATAAAAATTTAAAATGTTTTTACTTAGTCTTTAACTTTTTCTAAACGTTATTTTTTAAAACCTAAATTTAAAAAATTTTAAATTTAGTAATTGTCTAATAAAAATTATTTTTATATACAGCAAGATTCAGGACGTATGATAAGATAATATAAGATTATAAAAAAAAGCATATATAAATTTGTATTTTAATTATTATACAAATGTTTTTAAAGTACGTGATATTGAAAAATAATTATTTAATTTTAATATTTTCATAACTATTTAAATATTACATGCCCAAATTGTTACCATTATATAAGATATAATATGATGAAAAAAAATTATATATCCTATATTAATAATAAACTTAAATTATATATATCATAAATTAATTTATGTTAATAAATAGATTATATAAAAATTGTAATTAGAGATATTATATTTTCATATATAATTATAGATAAGTAATAAATTACTAAAATATAATAGACAATTAAATAAAATAACTTATCATATCAAGATAGAGTACTTTATGATTGTTTGTACTATTATACTCTGAACACCAAAAGAATCTTAAATATCACTTTATTCTTCAGTATAAGATAAAGTTCCTATAAAATTAGGTAAAAAAAATAGAATATATAATTTTAATGTATGTGCTAAAAATGCAAAATATTTTTACCATAATTATTTAAAAAGCTGTTTTGTATACTAATTTATAATAAATTACTAGATTTACTTTTAATTTTTTTAATCAATATCATTATTTAAAAAAATGTAAATAGTACAAATTTTTATAAATTTAGAATTTATACTACAAATTTTTTTGAGAAAAAGTTTAATAAATAGTATTAAAAAAATCCTTGCAACATGCTTGGCAAATATTTTTTTTACCAAGGAAAATACTTTTAAAAATAGATAGTTTTTATTTAAATTTTTTATAAACTCCAAACATACAATTTGTCCTTCATAAGTTGACACAAAAAAAATCTTTAAAATAAATTTGATTCATTAATAACAAAAATACCGAGATGGAAATAAATCGAAACTTGCTTATTATGAGACACAGTGTCAAATGAATCAATCCAATGTTTTTTCAATTAATTATAAAGTTTATTTAGCCAAAAATGCTTGGCTTTGAATTAATAAAATAATCTTTAAAAATCAAACATGTAATATTTAAACAAGTACAAATAATATAATCCTGATAATAATTATTCTTATTATTTTAATACATTTTTATTATAATATTTTGAAAGTCTATACTTGTTATTTTATTAATGGCTTACATTAATTATAACTTATTGCTCCCATGTAATTAATTTGTTATTTTTTTTCTTAATTATCTTTTTATTTTGATTTTAGTCTCTTAAATTAATAAAATAAGCTTATTTTAGTCCTTTAAATTTGAAAAAAAAATCCTTTAAATTAAGTATTTAAGAATAAAAAATAAAATCTTTTTTTTTAATTTGAGCAACGAAAATTTTGTTTACGAACTAAAAAATATGATTAAATATTTTCTTATTAAACTCTATATCTAGATTTTGGGTTTGAACATTTTAGATGAAAAAAAAATTATGATTGAAAAGGAAAACCTTAATGTGGTTGACCATTTTTTTTTTCAAAAATTAGTCATCGTCATATATAATCTACAAAACCTTACAGATTTTGAAGGTAAAATAAATTTATATTTTTTTATTTTGTATTTTTTTTTTCAACTTATAAGTTGATTAAAAGTTAGTTGACGAAATTTATAAGCTATAAAATAGAAATTGAAAAGTTAAGAACTTACGAAGTTAAGTGGATTGACATTAGTACGACTAACTAATCATAAAGTAGTTTTTAATATAAAATTATATACACACACACACATATATATATATATATATATATATATATATATATATATATATATAATTTTTAAAATTGAAAATAAAAGATATTTTAAGTATATTAGTTGAGAAAAAAAATGAAAACCTACTAACTTATAAATTACCTTAACTTCATAAGCTTAGAAACTAATTTATGAACCATCTAAGTAGTTTATAAGTTATCAGAGTAACTTGTCAAACATATATATATATATATATATATATATATATATATATATATATATATATATATATATATGCTGGAATCTCAAAAGATTTCAAACATTGAAATAACATAAAGAGAATTGATTTAACTGTAGCAAGCAACTCGTTGTCTTGCGTCTGTTTTTTTGTTCTACTGTCTTTTTCAATTGATTCACTTTCTTGCCATATATAGAGAAAGCATTTCCCAGTGAGGAAAGGAGAAATACACACATGCACTCATATATACAGAGAGAGAGGTTCAAGCTTCAAAGTTGGAAACAAAAGCATTGCTTTAACATATGCTAAAACCATTGTCTGTACTGTATCCAATTACAGAAAGCACTAAAGAAGTCTGCAACTTTGCTGGTCTCAAAAAACATTTAACAACAGCCAAAACACAAAGATAAATCCCTGCATATAGACAACAACGTAAATCATATACTTGATTCAATAAGATTGATCAAAGGATCCATCCCTGCATGAAGTTAGTCTCACAAGCCATGCTCTTTGGAACATTAGATGCCTCAGCTTGAACATATTGATGGTACCTGCTCAAAGTAAGAGGCTAAATTAGAATTTCTGACCATTGACAGTCTATGACTTATGCTTCTGTTTCTCAAAAATAAATCAATGTATCTCATACATTTCTAATATATTACGATGAACTTCTATACACATCTTCATATTTCAAATCAAGCTTTGAATTTGCAAATGTTTGTCCAAGGGTTTGAAGTGTGAGTTGGCTGTTGGACAAATAACAAGCCTAAGAACCATCTGTTCTTCAAATATATTGACACTTGAGACTATTATGATATGCAAAAAGGAAAATTTCATTACCCTATTTGCAAAAAGGGTTCAGCCTGGTAATCCAAAGGGTTGGTTTGAGCAGGCTGAAAGGGAAAGGCACTATTTCCAGCAGCTGAATTAGAGCTCCACAAGCTTTCCATAGCTTTAAGATTAAATCCCTCTGATTCAAGCTGAAAAAGGTGATTCAGTTGATAAAGAAATTAGAATGTGTTATCTAATTGAGAAAAAATATGGCAAGACATGTATCCTATAGTAGAATGGTGCATGTCTTAGATACACTGAAATTGTTTGGTTTCAAATTGTAAAACCTTGAGTCTAAGTTGCTTGTTCATATCTCCAAGATGGCGCTCCTGAAAGATGGATGAAAAAGTTAAAATGGAGAAAATTTTCGAACGAATTAGTTTAAGTTTTCAAATTTGTTTTACAAGTGCACACTTGGATAATAATTAACTTGTTAGAAAACTAATTTGACAGTAAATAACAAAAATGAAATTGTAAGACCAACAAAAATGTGCTTGTAACTGTTCTCACCCTTCTGCGAAGCTCTTCCATTTGTTCAATCATGATTTGTGTCTGCAATCGAAATGAAATTTAAGTAATATCATCCAAAAATCAATTTCTTTCTAGCGTCAAAAGTGATTGTAATCAGATTGAAACCAGCTCTTTGTGAAATATACAAAAACATGTTTTGTGATTTTCTTTAAAGCTTCAAATAAAAAGTTTGTTCAGAAACTTGGCCATAGTCAAGATTGCTTCCCTTCAGTTAATGCTAATGTATCTAGAGTCTCACAAATTGCAGTTTTGGCACATCCAAACCAAATAGTATGTATTTAGTGATTACAAGAGCCATTAACAAGTTTAATAAAAACATGAGATGGATTAAAATTTATGTTGTAATGAATCAAGAAAAATCCTTAAAGGAAAGAGGGAGAAAAATAAACTTTGCAGGAAGTATACGGTTTGTTTTATTTTCACAATTTACTTTTCTAACGTTTTTAAGTGATTAAATCATACTAGAAGTACAAATTAGGGCTTTGGCATGCATTGAACAAAAACTAGCTAGTTTTACATAATCTTTTGCAATTAAACTCCCTTCCCATTAATTATTATGTGGTAACAGTGATTACACTTCACATATCAGAAATAGTATTATGCATAGTCTAGTTAAAGTACTGCAGAAGATTGTTGTCAGTTCTTGAATATAAGCACATACTTTTACAACCTAAGTAAGGTAAAGTAACAACAAAAAATCCACATAGCAATAAAGAGAAATTCCAATTATGTATTCACACCTTCCTTTGCCTAGCTTGTGCTAATGCTGCTTCAAGCTGTTTCTCAAGACTCTGTAGCTCTTTTATGTTCAATGGTCCAAGATCTTCCCCAAGCAAATGCCTAAAAAATGACAATACATTGGAAAGTCAAGTTTTGCATGAGGTGTTTATGATTTTCTAACTCCCCTTTGTTTAACATATACACTTACATGTCACTGTTGAAAACATTATTTAATAATATATATATATATATATATATATATATATATATTAATTATTCCCTCTAATATTCTCTAAGTTCAACTTTAGTCTTAAATAAAATTATCCATTTTACATCATTCTAGTTTCTGAATGTTCTATCATCTAAATGATTTCGGTAACATTTATTAAGGAAAAAAAATATATTAGATAACACTTTATAAAAGAAAAAACTGATTTTTTAAACAATACATTGAAGGATTAAAAATAATACATTTTATAGTTAAAAAATTATAAATGGGACAAACTTTTATGGAGATTAAAAGTGAAAAATATGTTATGAAGATCGAAAATATATTTTATCCTATATTAAAAACCTATACTCTAGCATAAGTGAGCATTATATATACCTCTGGGTCCTTTGAAGAGACTCGTACTTTGCCTTTAGTTTTGACACCTCCTGGTACCAGCTCTGATTGTCATAACAAAAATTCATAAAAAATGATTCACTAACAAGACCTAATTATAATTATAGACATGTATCATATCATTAACAAAAGAATGACTATATATTGTACATTGTTCCAGAAAAAGGCTATCTTTTTTCCATTTTCAGAGAAAAATAATTCATTTGTAAGATGGAAAGAAGTGTGCTTAATTTGCAAAGCATGCAAGAGAAATATTGATCATTATCCTTTGTTATCTTTGTTTTAGAGGACTACAGACCCAATTAACTTTTTTTTTTTTTATCAGCAAAGAGAATGTCTAGTAGATATAAGATACAAGAATTGCCTAAAGTTATATACAAAAGGAAATTAGAGCATTGCTTTTAAACACATAATAAGATTTGAAGACTATCCATTAAAGTAAAAAATAAAATACAAACTTCCATCATTATCCTTAACCAAGAGCTGTAAAAGTTTTGAAAGCATTATGATCAGTAACAGACAATGAATTTTCAGCAGACACAAGGCAGAATTTTTAATTGAACTGTTTAATATATAACTTAGAAATCGAAAGTGCTTAACAGGTGGAAAATGTGCGAAGAAAGAGTTGGTGAACATATATACCTGAGTTTCACATTCAACGTGTTCATCTTGAGGAGTAAACGAGCAACGTTGGTATCGCTCAATAGTCTTGGTAATGCTGCGAATTAAAGGAAACTCTGATTGGTCAATTCAAACCATTTTTTTGTTTTATGTAATAATCTGCATATTTGATCGTAGCTGCGAATTAAAGGAAACTCTGATTGGTCAATTCAAGGTTGACACTTGATGTTTCATTTAGGAAATTAAAATATATCCACTAAATTTAGGAAATATAGGTGAATCGTGATATTTCAGAGTTTTCTGAATCATTGAAATTTATATGTAAACAAAACTCTGAAACTTTAATTATTATTTGATCTTGATATATATATATATATATATATATATATATATATATATATATATATATATCAAAAAAATTGTATGTCTTCAAGTTTAAATTTGAACGATAGTAGTTAAAGTGTAATTTGGAGGATAAACGTAAAAATTCTAAAAAAAATGAATTTTTTTAATTAATTTTATTCATTAGAAAATATATGTACCAGAGCATAACCATTTTTCTTTTATTTTTTTCTTTCTACACATAAAATTCAAAAAACTTATTCTTATATCCACCTCGGTGACATTTAAACAAAAACCAATATTTAAAAGTTACTGTTCCGTAATCATTGTGCTGAAAGCACACATGTTCTTCATCAAACCAAAATATCCATACAAAAACAATGTCCACGAATAAATTATTTTTCTGAATATTCTACGAACTTAGTTTAGTTGCCTTTCAAAATCATCTTTCACCATTTGGTTTTTATGAACACAAAACGTGTAATTGAAACAAATGAAGAAGGCTCAGTTCTTATATTTTGAAGAAGAAAAACAAATGGAGAAATTATGGCAAGTGTTTCAAATCTAGTACGATTATACTTTTCCACAAAATTATGAATAATTTTATGTATATTTATTCCATGACAGATAAAGCTAAGATTATCTGATCTACAAAGTTTGAAAGTGACTCTTCTAGATTCAAAACGAGTTTCTCTTTGCAAACAAAAATTAAATAGAAAAGAATTCATATATATATATCATCACCCTATTTTTCTACTCATTTCTGAGGATTTTCTTACTCGAGCATATCCAAGAACACCCCAAATAATTGTTTTCAGAGAAAACGAAATGCTGAAATAAGCGAGAAGATAACACACAATTCAAAAAACAGTAAAAAATAAAATAAAATAAAAAGACAAATTCATTTTCTCAATCTCTAACTATGAGATAAACTATTACGTTTCTGCAGAAAATGTTAAATCTCTAACTATGAGATAAACTCTTCATGTTAACAATATTGTGCTGATATCTCAGAAGAATTGTAAATTTTAGGTTAAATCTAAAACATATAGAAACATTTTCTCTTTTCATAATTATATATATTTTTTTCATAGTGCCGTTACTGGACTCGAATAATACCTATTAGGGCTAGCAGCAAAGGAAAAAAAGAAACTTAGAACATTTCTTTTTTAATTTTGACTAATTGTTGGTAAATAATATAGTTTATCATCATGCAGTAGATGGAAATAAAACCTATTTAAACTAACTGCAGTGCTGCATAAGCCATCATTCCTCCACAAACATGAAAACAAAAATGCACAAAACAGTGCAGGCTAATTAAGGAGATTCCCTGGAAGAGAGAGAAAGAGAGAGAATCAATTGATCATGTAAAAGACCTAAGAGTAAAAGACAACTAAGAGAACCAGCACCTTTGTTTGATTGCAAAGTCCAAACTCAGGAACACCCCATGATGATCGATCCCCTCAAGAAATAGAGACAGCAATTATTTTTGGGACACACATAAGGTAGAGCATTCTCCGAGAAGAGACAATGGTAGAACCAAAAGATCAAAGGACAAAGGTTAAGAACCAGATTCTTGGCTGCTAAAAACTTAAAGGGTTTATTTCAAGCCATAAAAAAAATTATATTATATTGTTCCCATGTAGAGGAAGATGTTGTGAAAGCCCTAGATCTTGCACAACAGTACAAGAGAGTTATCAACATTCTTGGACTTTACCTCACCACCACGTCCATTTAATTACACTGTATTACGAAACTGGGTACATATGATTGCTTTGTTCCTTTTTTCTTTTCTTTTTTTTCTGAGAGAGATGGAAATAGATTGTACTGTTCCATCAGTAGATCAGTGTGCAAAGCTGGAACCTTTATCTCACAATAGAGAGATATCAGGTGGAAGGACGATAAAACGTGTCGATCTGTAATTGGAACGAAGCAAAACTCCTGATATTTTCCCCCTATAATCCATGCCCTGAAAGTTCCTAATAGAACCCCACAAGTGTAAAAAAATTATAAAAAGAAAGAAAATAGGAGAAATTTATCGTGGAGGGTGACAAGATCCACTGATCCAGAAAAGGAGAAGCTATAAGAGAGAGGGGGGAGGGAGAGAGAGGGCAGAGGGGGGGTCTAGGAAGGTGTCAGGTGCATGTGTTTGAGAAACAAGTTAATCCAAGAACGGTGACTGATAGAAAGAGCAAGAACACAAGGGACAAAAGAAAATTAAAGGAAAAAAATAAAATAAAAATAAATGGGTGGAAAGTGAGTGATGAAAGGGTGTGTTGGGTAAATCTTAAAAACATCAAATTCAGTCGTGGCAAATAAAGGAAGCCAGAAGCAGAAACCAGTGGCCATTTTGGTGAAAGAAGCTGATGCAAAGAAGAAAGTGCGTTTGCTCAGAGAAGAGAAGAAGGTATCCATCTCAGCACCACCACCACACACACACACATACACACTCAGAAAACCCAAAATCTAAAATCTTAATACCTATTGGGATTTGCACCTCACAAAAATGGACACAAAACTTTCAAAAAATAAATCAAAACAGATAAAAAAAAAATGTGGACAAATTAAATAACTGCAAGGGTAGCTAAGATTTTTGCAGTTCATAGAGAGAAAGAGAGAGAGATTACCCAACATTTCCAAATTCATAGAGCTTCCCACGGCTTGAGAAAATGATGAGGGCAACCTCAGCATCGCAGAGAACTGAGAGCTCATAGGCTTTCTTGAGCAAACCGTTCCTTCTTTTTGAGAAAGTAACTTGGCGGTTGATTTTGTTCTCTATCCTCTTCAGCTCAACCCTCCCTCGACCCATTCTCTCTCTCTCTCTTTTTCTGTGTGTCTCGAAACAATAACTCTAACTTTATAAATTATTATTAGAAATTCTGTGATCAACCCTTGATATAGAAGAGAGAGTTTAGTGCAAAAGGGGAGAGAGAAAGAGAAGGCTTAAAAAATAAGTAGTAGTAGTTGCTGTGATGAGATAATATGGTGTTGTGTTTGTGTGTGTTTCAGAGAAGTGGAAGTTAGTGTGCTATATAGAAATAGACAATGAACACAGAAAGGGGCACACTTGATCTTCTTTTACAAAAAAATGGAAACCCCAGTTATTCTTATTTTTATCTCATTCTCTTTTCCCAATTTAATTTTAGTAAATATGGTCCCTTCTCTATACCTCCCTGCTCTCTCTTGCTGCATAGTTTTAATTTTGCTGCAGTTTAGGGCAAGTGAAAGGGAAGTTCCACTCTCACGCGCCAGTGCCTTCCACGCCCCCATGTGAATCCTCTTCACACTTTACAACTGATACCAGTATTTGTGGAAATGCACTAACCACTGGCTGCTAACTCTGTTTACCCCAAAACTGGTTAGCATAGTGATATCATCACCAAACCTTTTGCAGCAGGTTGACCAATAACTTGTACAAATATCACTGGGATATGATACTCATGGTTTTTACACCATCATCATATATATACATATTTATATTCACTTCAAAAATATGATCTTAATGACTATATATTTAAGATGTGTAACTCACTCAGTGTGATGATACTTTTGTCAAAATTAATAAGTTTTACCTAATTGTTGTAGGACAATACATAACTATTTTATATCATGTATAACATATTTTTTGAAAAGATGTTGAGGTTCTGATCATGATTAATAATTTCAGGTCTCTCTCACTTCTTTTCTAAACATATTGTGTAATTTTTTTTTTTTTTACTATGAAGAGAAAAATCAAATAGTGCAGAAGGGTATAACTTTGAAGTCACGTTATGCTGTCACATGTTGCTTAGATGGTGCACTGCATATATATATATATATATATATATATATATATATATATATATATATATATATATATATATATATATATATATATATATATATATAAATCAATTGTAAATAAATAAAATGGTAGTTAAGTATTCGTGTGTTGATTCATCTAATTTTATTGTTATAGATTAATTGTTAAGTTTTCACAATTAATTAAAAGCCATCAAAGTCTATAATATCAGAAGAGATTAATTGAGTTTTTTTTTTTATCATAATTTAAGTTTGATGTTGTTGGTGCATATAATCAGATAAAAAAACTGGTTTGGAAGCACCTATTTAAAAGCTTTTGAAAATGTTGTGAAAGACAAAGACTTTATACTCTACCTATATGATGAAAAGTCACGATGTGGAACATGCATGTTCTAGCAAGAACACAAGTTCCATTACCAAGAATATTTTGTGCACGTTTTCCTCAGAGTAATATAATTAAGCTAAAACTGAACCGAATTTCATGTTCCAAAAGTTTGTCTTCTCCACTTTAGCAAAGACCAATACATAGTGGTTACTAGAGAATCATTAGATTACAAACATTTGAAAAATAAGGGCATGACCTCACAATACTCCAATTTGTCATATGTAAATGTTATCTTTTAACATGGAGACCAAGACCAAACTACAGTCCAATATGATACACTGAAAACATCTCAGAACTTGTCAATGCATAGATGAAATTCAAAATTCATTTAAAGTTCAACTGTAAATATTGACTAAAGAGGCAAAATGGTAAGCAGAAAAGCTAAAACAAGTCCTAAATTTGAACAACAAAAATAGTGAAAACGCGTAGATATATGTGCGCAGATGAAACTGTTTTCTAGCACAGTATGTGATTAATTAATGGCTTGTGATAAGCATATGCTTGAAATGTTTATATTTTGGTCAAAATTGCAAATAAATAATGTTACTCAACATCATCACAGATCAAACAAAAACGCGTTACTCGAGTAGGAGCGATGAGGTCTCTTTCAGACATAGACAAGAAAATTTGTTGGCATGGTGGATAGTAATCACTTCAACCCCACCAAACCCTTACATAAAGGCACTGAGCAGTTTCAAAGAGTTTCAATTTGCTTCGAAAAAGCTTACTAGACCACTGGTCACGCACACATAGCCTTATATCTGCGAATTGACAACACCTTTGCATTATTTCATGACATATAAAGAGAAAAATCTCTTATCATTTAAAAATTGAACTTAACAGTAATTTATAAAAATTATATTTTTAACCTTTCAAAACATATTTTGAAAATAAAATCACAACCAAACCAAAACATTGGTCTAAGTTATCCAAAAATGTCATAATTTAAAAGTCAAAATTTAGTTTATAATATATATTTTTAAACTTAACAATGGACCATATATTGAAACAACATGCATGATATGTGTGTGACTTTCTAACAGATGTCATGTGCAAAGGATGATGAATCCATTTATGGCCACTTCCTTATGACCCTATCCTTTACTTGTGGTCGTGCACATCTGACCCTTGATATTAGGATTCACACTACAATTAGCTATGACATCTCAATGTTTTAACTGGTTTGGTAAATGTAAATTTTCATTCATATATTCTTGGTGTTACTTGTTAGTGTTTTTTTAACACCGGGCTGAAGAAAGGGCACATTTGGGTAGAATGGGGTATTAAAAAAATCATTTCGAACGATGAACAAATAATGTATATAGCCAGAAGAACAATGCAGGGTTGTGAAGTGAAAATGGCATGCCAATGATATACCATCATTACCATGTAAAGAGAAGTTGTAGCAAGTGTTATGCTAAATTGAAAATAAGGATAAGTGTGAATGTGTGTAGTCATATATTGCATAAAAATAAAAGTAAGTTGATAAAAAAATATAAAGAACAATTACTTACAAATCCAATTTGCTGTATTTTGGATGAAAAAAAAATTAGAGGATAATTTGTTTTTATAGAAAAATAAAATGTGTGATGAAATATGTTATTTGGATACAATTTTTGAAAGAAATTAAAAGTCTAGAAAATTTCACCTCCAAATTACATTTAAAAGTTTTTATACTGTTGTATTTTTCAAGTTTACGTCTTTTTCTAATTAAGATTTTAATATTAATTAATATTTAATACTGAAATTTTAATTGTTATAGAGAGAAAGAGAGAGCGGATATATTAGAAATTAAATTATGTATCTAAATTAAGAATTTAAAATTTAAGAAATTTACATGATTTATCCAGACAAAAGCATTTCAAATTTTATTAAATCCAAACAATTCAATTATTTCAAAAATTCCCTGAAACATTGAAATCATCCATTCAAGAGCAACTTAAATGCCAAATTCACTTGTATGATTTATTGTTATTTAGTTGCCTGCTGTTCTCTCCTCAATCCCTTCAGATTCACATCAAAATGCTATTTAAATTACATAAAAAGTTGAAAGAAGAAAAATATATAAATACTTTTAATACAAAGAAACAATATATAATTCACTTTTAGGATATAAAATTGAAATTGAATGTTATAAGTCATAAAAAGAAACTAGATTTAAGTTAATCTCAACAAATATATAACTTTAATATGTAAGTGGAGAGGTGATGTTTAAGTGGGAAATGAAAAAGTTTAACATAAAAATGAGAAATTTAAGAATTAATCTGAGAATACCAAAAAAATAATTGATAATGAAAAACAACAAAGTAGAAAAATCAAAAAGTGATTAGGTTTAATTCATAAAAAATCACAATTAAAAAAAAAATTGAACGTAATTTATATATTTGATGAGTTTATGAAAACAGTGTTAGAAAATAATATGCAATAAGAGATATTATTTCATTGTCAAGAGTGTAGTTAATTAGTTGTACCATTATATATATATATATATATATATATATATATATATATATATATATATATATATATATATATATATATATATATATATATATACAACACATCTTTTAACACATTATTATGGGATGATTTTACGTGGCTTCACTGAAAAAGATGAAATAGAAAAAAGAACATATTTTTGTTCTTTTAACACGCGTATATAAATGTTGATTAATGTGCTTAATTACTATTTGTAGCAAACAGAATGGGAAGACCAGCAATGGCGGCTAACAAGTGATGCTGCTAAAACCTGTCTCAAAGGCATTTTCCTACGAGTCTAAGATTGTCTCTTTTCACTTTTTATGCATTCAATCAAGTTTATGGTTCCATGTCATAATCGTCCCCGATTTAGAAATATAAAATGTATTAAGGACTATGGCTTTTTAGGAAGCTTTTATATACTTTTTATCTCTTAGTGTGTATTTCAAGAAAGTCACACGTCAAGAGATTTTCTTTTTCCTCTCCACAATTTTTTTTAATCTAAAATCTTATGGCATTTGATGTATTAAATACTTTAACTCATTCTTGCTAATTAATAGTGTTTAACACTAATATAAGACCAAGGATATTTTTCACGACTCTCAATTTGAAATTATCTTTTGCAACATTATTTTAATGTATATAATATCTCATGTTTAACACTGTTGAATTATTTCATAATGGAAATTTAACCAGTGATGTTATTTTTCTCTATATAACATCGTATTAATTATGTGACTACTATTTTAATATATTTATTGAGATTAATGCTATAAACTTGTATTTTATATCGTAGTTACTCTTTTAAGACTTCAAAGATATTATAACTTAAAAAGGAATAGCAATTAAGCGGATCAAATTTTCAATTATTTCTAAATGACCTTCATTATTGTAAATAAGATAAAGTGTATATTTTGAAGATAAAAAAATTTGTAATGAGATATTATCTTAATTATTGTTAGGTATATTACTAAATGACCTTTTTCCTAATTAAGATTGTTCTAACGTTCAACTTTTGTCCTAAAAATGTGACTTGACAATTGACGAATAGGGCAATGTTATCCATATATGTATATCATATAAAGCGAACTAATAATTTTGAGATTCCTAAAGATTGTGTTCCTACTAGAGATTTCCATAAAAGGTTAAGGACCCTCAAATTTTCAACATTGTTTGTATTAGGAACTTAATTAAAAAGTCTCATTAACAACGTCTGAAGAAAACCTAAAAAGAGGGCTACATTTAAATCAAATCATAATCCAAAAGAATCAAAAGTTTTAGCTTTGCTTTCGACGATCACAATCTTGCACCCTTTTCTGAGATTCTTTACCACAAATTGCTCAAAAAATTTCACCCATATATGAAGGATTTTTTATTTTTTTTTTCATTATTGGTTATGAACTTAAGGTTTGATTACTGGATTATTTCAAAATAAATGTATTATCAACTTCTAAAATGTATAGTCATGGATTGTTTTGTTAGAATTATCGTAGTCATGAAATTATTTTCATAATTGGAGGTATGATTAAAAAAAAGTTTACAAATGAGTTATAAATAATAATTAAATTGCATCGTATTCTATTACAAATGATTTCACCAAGGTAAC